CCCCCCCCCACATTGATCGGATTGCAAGTTTGCTCGTGGGCACTATCGATATGCGTGAGCGGGGAGGGCTTGTGGTTGGCAGGTGCTGGTGGGGGGGAAACTCACTCCCCCCCTTTCTGCTCCCCCCCTGCCAGTCAACAATCCCCTCCCTCTTCCACCCCACAGCCGCGGTACAGATTCCCTCTTACCAAGCCCTCGAATATTGAGATGTCGTACTCTGGAGTCCAGACGACAGGAAGTTACGCGCCCGGGGGCTCCTTGTGAGACCTAGGAAATAGAGTTGAAGGGTTTGGCGGAGAAAGCTGAGGGAAGGAGGGAAGTGAAGGGGCGGCACAGAAGGTGAGAGCCACAGGTAGTGGAGTTTGAGTGGAAGGAATCGGTCGAGGGGGGAGGCCGAAGGCGGGGAGGAGGACGTCTAACATCCTGTTGGCGGCCCTTAAGTAGCCGGAAACGTGTTTTTCAGGCATGGCTCCTGGCTAAGTGGTTAATATGTTAGATTCCCAGCTATTGACGGTCGATTGTTATGACGGTCAACACTGGACATTTGGGCTATTCCAGCGGAGTGGGTTCAAGTCCCGTCGGGAGCATCTTTTTCTTTTTTTTTCGTCCAGACAACATCTGTAACTCCCAACTCCTCTCCTTTTCTTCATTGCTATTTCTCTCCCCCATTTCTTCCCGAGCTTATTTTAGAGTTGTGAACTCGGCTCGCCTGGGAACGCTCATAGCAAGGCACTTCAGCGGCAGCAAAGGGAAGGCAGGGAGAAGGTAGGTGCGGTGGAAGAGGGGGATAATTTGGCAGCGCGCCTGCGCAGAGCCACAACAAGCCACAACAAGCCACCTGCACGAATCAACAGACGAAGGACTTGAAGATTTAACGAGCAGAGGATATGTAGTTCGGGCCCTTCTCATCCCAGTCAAATCGAGCGTGCTGATGCTGAGGAGAATCTTGAGAGCTAAAGCACACCAAGAGCTCGAGTCACCAGTGCCGCGTGAACTGCCAGTGTGGAAGCAAACGGTCGGGGTCAGAGGCCTCCGGGATCATTTACTCTTTTGCTCCCCATCCGGTCGCCTCGGAGCTGCAGGATGACTGATAAATAATTGAATTGTTGGGACTGAAATTCCTTGGCACAGTGGCTCCAGGCAGGCGATGAGGGCGAGACCGCGGAGACGGAGGCGGGCCGCTCCAGGCCATTCAAGGTAGTTCTCTCAGGGTGAGGGGAAGTGACGTTAGTTGCACGGACCACGGTGGTATTTGTTGGTGGTCATGTGTATGATTTTGTTGAGCTGTGGCCCACTGCCCAAAGGGCTGATAACGTGTCAGAAAAAACCACCGACTCCAAGCCGGCCAAAAGCTTATTGCATCCTGAGTGTGTCTTGCCCGATGCTGACGCTTCAACGACCTTTTTGTCGACCTACTTTCCCCCTTCTTTGCACACAATGCTCAGTACCCAGTAATTGCCACTGGTGACGTTTGGATCTGCAATTGGCATCCCTTGCCCCTCCACTCCCCCCCCCACACAACAGTCGAACGAGTGGTTTTTGCTGAGCTCTGACCCACTATCCATCCCCGTTCGGGAGAGCAGAAGTACCTCCGGTAGCCTCCGGTCCTCCTGGCCGGCGTCGGGTGATTTGCAAAAGTCGTGGGGCTCTTGCGGTAACGTTCAAAAATATTCCGAAGGCACCCCATGAAGTCAGCCGGGCATCGTTTGTCGGAAGACAAAGGAGTTCACATTCACTAGAAACAATGTTGCGGCCCCTTCGCTGAGACGGGGATTGGAGGTGATCGAGATGAGCGGTCCGACGTCTGAGGGGGGTTTCTTGGCTGCATAGCGCACCTCGTTTCGTTCCCGAGAGCACCCTTCTTCCCTGCCTGACCTTGCAGAGGTTTGATTCCAACGTGGAAACGTCACCGCACTCCCCGGGGCAGGAGCCCCCCGGGCACGCCCCCTTCTTCAACATCCTTGCGCGTCAGGTTGCCTGCAGCCCGTTGACGCAAGCATGCATCTTTGGTCACCGGAAATGAGCGGCAGGCTGTGCAGGCTGTGCAAGGCGCAGGTTGAACAAATTTTTGAGGCCATGGCCCGCCTATACGACTTGATCCGCTTGTTCTCAAACTAGCCTCCCCGGTCCACGCATGCTGCCTCCAGACGACCCTTTGGTCCCTCCCCTCCGCCCTCGCGCCAGCTTGACGACTGGCTCCGGTCCGTTGCGTTCGACCCTGAGGGACTCGACGAGATGCCGGAGGGGACCGGGCTGGAGCCGGGTTCGGAGCGTTGGGGGAGTGTGGCGGCGAGTGGGGTGGATGGGGCGACGAACGCCATGCCTGGTTGTGGTCATTTTGGAGGCGGACTCGGGGAGGATGTAAGGCGGAGGAATCCTGCGCTGCGTTCGCTGAATCGCTGGCTTTGTCGCCGCCAATAATTCGCTTCACCCATCTCGAGGGTGTTCCAGCCCTGACCGCGTTCCACTCTCCTACCCCGCTGCTGACCAAGATGCTCGCGTGTGGTCCCTCATCTGCACTGCTGCCACGTCTGCACGATGTCCAGTCGCCGTCCTTGCTGCTTCTCGAGCCGCCGACGTTCGAATTCACCTCACGTTTGAAGCCAAATATGGCCTCGTTCGGTTCTTCCGCGCCGCTGCTTGAACTTCTGCCGTCCGCCCCGCTACTCAACCAGATTTCCTCCGACCCTTGGTATCCTCTGCTCCCCTGCTCGACCTGAGGTCTCCTGCCCCACCGCCAATGCCACCGGAACTTCTCGAGTTTAATACCCAGTATCAACCGCAACCAGCCCCGTTGCCTTTCTTCTCCCCATCTGGGCCAGAACCCGTCGGCCCACTCGCGATTGGAGCCACATCTTCACAACAATCATTCTTGATCTCCGATATCGCCGAAATCGCAACCAACACCTCTTCCAACGCCCACCCCCTTCCTAGCAGCTCACCAATCTTCCCAGAAGCAGAACATCTTCCCCACTTCTTCGCCCCCCCCCCCTCGTCCCCCCGCCCCCCCCCCCCTACTCCCGGCCCCAAACCACGCCATCTCCGCGTCCCCCGCAACCTCAAGCGGCTCAACACCATCGACGAACTGGCATCCTGCACCTCGTGCCACAAACCCACTGTAACTCTCCTCCTGCACGGTCCCGCGTCCGCCTTCACGACCCCCCACGCCATGTCGCTCACGTGCCGACCATGTGATGCCGCGGCGGCGTTGGAGCGATCGACACTGGTCGAAGTCGCGGATACAGCTCTGACATTGAAGAAGAAAAAACGCCCGCGCGGAGTCGAAGGACCACTTTTTTGCAAACGCTTGGTGGAACGCAATCCACCCAAAAACACATCCCAACCCAGTCTTCCACAACGCAAAAAGAAATTGGGGTTGTCGTCATGAGGATGGTGGATGGAGATGATGTTGAAAGGAGAGAGTATGGGGTGAGCCGGAGTTCGACATCGAGCCGGTGTGCACGAGATGTTTTAGCAAGTATAAGTTCTGCTCTGCGGTATGTGGAAGACTGGGTTGGGATGTGGGGCGGCGCCTGACCCTACAAGGGCTGTTCTAATATACTCTCTTTTCCCTCCTCCCAGTGTGGGGGCGGCGGCGAATTCCGAACAGGCCGCTGGCGCCCGAACGAGCTATTCTCCCCCAACCGCAAACTCTTCAACCTCAGCCACGACCGCATTGGGACGCTCGCCTTTACCCGCGAAGTATTCATCTGCCCGAACAGCTTATCCCCCTCCCTCGTCTCAACCATGATCGCCTTCAGGGAGGAAACGACCAATAAACGATGCGCTGAAGCCAAATTCCCAGAAGGACGCATCGGCATGTCGGAGTTTGCCAAGTTCAAAGCCCGCGTCCACGAGTCCTCCGAAGAGGTCCGCGAACGATCGTGCTCGCCGCTGAAGCCGGGTAGGAGGCGCTACGTATGCGTGACTTGGGGCGACCCCGTTGCGACCCCGTGGCGCAGACCAGCGGCAGACACCCTCCCCCCGCCGACTCCAACCCTGGCCGCCAAATGGTCCAGGTCTCTGTTGCCGAATGGTGGCTCGATGACAGGATTGCGGAGTTATCCCACCAGATCTCAGACGTCGATGCCTTAGAAATCGCCTGCGAACGTGAGATAATTGTGTCCATGATCGCAGACGTCCGGGCGCTGTCTGTCCTGGCTCCGGAGCACGCAGTATGTCTGCAGCGCCCCACCGCGGCGGAGTTGGAGAAGGATGGCCCGGACGCGTCGAAGAAATTGGGTGGAGGAGGGCTGCGGTGTATGTGGCCCGGCGGTCCGCGGAGCGCATGGCCGCTGGGATGGAGCCGCTTGACTCCACCATGTTTGCCGTGGAGAGGTTCGAAGAGAGGGCGGAGGTCGCGAAGTCGTTCGTGGTGATGGCCATGGAGGTCGAGGAGAATATGAAGAGGCGCTTGCGCAAATAATAATCGGATTCAAGTCGCAGCTTGCCGCCTTTGCATCGATGTGATTTCTTTACTCTCTCCTTTGGGACCAGAAGTTTTCTTGGGCTGCGTTGAATTCGATTGATTGTCAATATGAGTTCGAGAAGAGCTCTGCGCAACTTACTCTTGTGTGGCATTCTATGGTACCCTGGCAGGTCGAACGGTAGCCCCCCTGTTTCTTATAAAACCCACGCAACCTTCACCCCATGTTGTCACCTCCGTCCCTCCCTCCCTCTCCAACAAATTAGCTTTTCAATTGATCAACCATAATCCAACCTCGGAAACTCCATCAGCGGGCCCCCACTCCAAATTTGAAGACTGTCATGCTGAACACTGCCTCACTCGAGACTTTCAAACATTCTAAGGACGATTATAGTCGGTGTCACGCGAAGTGGTGAGCCGCGAGTGGTGACTAATGGATGAGGGAGCGAGCCGAGGGGGTTTCCTTTTGAGACCCCCCCCCCCCCACCAGCCAACTGCGCCCGCAAAAGTCGTCACGCGAGAGACGGACTAGATCGCGCTTGTGCTTTTGCTCGTGATGTGCATTATTTTTTTTGCCAAGAGGGGAGGAGACATTGTAATACCTCCTCTCTGACTGATGCGTTCGCAGACCGCAAAAAGGATATGTTGGATGATCCTGCTGGAGGGATGCGGATGTTGTCGTTTGCGTTGGGATGAGTTGTCGATCGGGGGGGGGGGGGGGTCCCACTTTGGCGCCCCCCCCCCCCCCCCTTGCCCCCCCCCCCCCCCCCCCCCCCCCACACCCCCCC